AGGGAGTGGAAAGATGGAAGAGTTCCTTCAATGGAAGTCTGGGCTCAGCATGCTTAACCCTCACAGAGCTAGGGCCTCTTCCTCTTTGACTGCAGCCCTGTTTTCGTGGTGCTGTTTTGCAGCTTGGCCCTGATGAGCCTATCTGTTGAACAGAACTGCTTCCTTTAGCTACTGAGCTACTAAGACAGCATCTGTGCAACCAGTGAAGGCCTAGAGGATTTATGCAAAGCAGTGTTCTATCAAGAATGTGAACTGGACTAAAATGACACATTTTTAAATATACTTCAGTCAAAAACCATCATATTTGTAAGCAGAAGTGTTGACTAAGAATCTAACTTGGGAGAGAAAGATTACCCAAGGCCCAGAAATGACTGTATATTTCAGATCTTAGAGAGCAGCATCAAAGTATCAACACCATGGTCTCGGTGAGCTTTCTTCCTTGAAACTGAAAAGTCAACAAGGGATTTTTGATAAATATTCCCCTTTATCTAACACTGTTGTGGGTTGAGAATCCAATTGGCTCAATTAGATGACTAAACAACCATAACCCAGTTATTTAACAAGAATAACCAAATCTGGTAAGGCAGCAAAAAGAGAAAGGCATCGTTCTCTTTATTTATTTAAATAAAAAGAGTTTCACGTGAAGGTAAGTGGCAGCAAAAAGTGTCCAGAGGGGCTCTGTGTTAAGTCGTGGGGAAGCACTGGTATCCTAACACCCTGCAGGGTCCTACAAAGTGACGGTGAAATCACTGCGCACACATACTGCTCGCTAGCACCTGCAGCAGGGCTTGTGACACTTCCTTATTTGCGAGAAGGACCCAATCTTCACAGCGGCTTTCAACCTCAATCTTATGACTTCTTAGCCTACGTCAGCAAATGGCCCCCAAGGTTCTCCAAGTGAGATGTGCTGAATTGAGGAGTAGATCGCCAAGCTCCATGGGTCAGCTTCCCTGTGAGCCAAGCTTTTCCACCTCACTTTTTCCTTCACAGCTCTCCAGGCATCTTTTCCCTGGTAATTAAATTTTCCTATAAGGATTTGGGAATATGCATGGATGGCAGTGGGGTGAAGTTAACTAACATTGTTCATCTGTCTAAATTCTAAGTCATTTTCTAGTTTCATTTCAAGCAGCTGATGATTTTTTTGAACTCCCTAGAGACCTTGATGAAATTTTGAATCGTCACTGCTGGGACACTATGAAAACAAGACCTACACTCAGCTTTTAAAACTCATCTTGAGAAGAGACTAAGCCGGAAAATATAAATGCCTTTCTAACATGTAAAGTGCCATAAGTCTGACTTTTTCAGAGGTCATTCACATAGCAGTATTGGCAATCCAGAATACAGTCAAGGACCAGAACGTTTTTTTTAAAGGTTTCTAGATAAGCACAATTATTGTCACAAAATCCATGCATTGCAATCCATGCATGCTGTTAAAAGATTCATCGTCCATTCGCTCAAAAACAATCCATAGCACAATACCAAGGTCAGATGGCCAGAGTATAAGTGGCGGCTCTGCTGCGTACTCATAGTTTGATCTTGGGCAAGTTGCTCAACCTTTCTGTGTCTCAGCTTCCTCAACCAGAGAATACTATATTCACCATAGGCCTCAGATGAGAAGTACATAAGATTATTCAAAACACACAGGCAGAGCCTAGCATGCAAAAAGTGCCAAATAAGTCTGTGTTATTATTGTTCGATAAGCCCTTCCAGGAAAATCAAAAATCTCATTTCCCCAGCCACTGCTTATTAGAATTAGTAAATTAACAGAGATGGGAGGATGGTAGAAAAAGGTCCACTGTTAATTCACAGGAAACAGAGAAATTAACAGAGCAAGAAAGGGATATCAAAGTCGTGGCACAGTTGTGGCTGTTTCAAGCCACAGAACATTAACCAAGAAGTCCTAGATCCTTCAGTACCCTTAAGGTGTTAACACAACAACAGTAAGCGATCACTTGCGGAGATTACAAATAGTTCAGTTTTGCTCTTTTACATTTGCTCTGATTTAAGAAAGAAGCAAAAGTAATACAGGAATTTCAAACATGTTTGCATAAAAATATTCAAAACAACTGCTTCTAAGGGGGCATATTTCAGTTCTGTTGAAAATGCCATCTAGGAACACTTGCTGGCATTTAATCTGTGTATTTAATGTGTCTAGGATAGATCTAGGAAAAAAAAATGTAGAGACCTGTTGAATGATGTTGACAAGAAATGTATGTGTGAACCTTTCAATACTGTAGAACATAAATGAATTTCAAACATCAAATAATAATATACAGTAGTCTGATGTTGGGGGTCACAAACCCAACTGAATACACTGCATTTATTTGAGTATTGACTCCATCTAAGATGTGTGCCTAACCCTCTTCTTGGCATTGCAAAAAAAAAATAAATAAATAAATAAAAGACATTCAAAACCAGCTCCCTGTCCTCAATAAGCCCATCAACCCACTATACATCAAATCCTACAACGCACTCAGCTGCCTTCTGAGTTTATCCAAAGTGATTGGAAGGCTCTATCTGAATTCCTGTTCTAGGCAGAACTGACACACCCTGACCCTGCCAGCTCCTCCCCTTTCCAGACTTCAGGAGTTCTGCCATTACTTTAGGGTATTTCTCACTCAGCACCTTTCCCTGCTAGGAAAACTTCACTCTCCTACCTAAGGTATTGGTGAGTCTGAGTTTCAAGACGGATCCACACTTGGAGGATGTCTGTTCTCTCAGTTATATCAGAAGAGAAAAAGGAAGACTTCACCTCCCACAAGTCTCCAGGTATGTGTGGAAATAAAGCCCCCACAGGGCAAGATACTCACAGGAAAGTTCTCTGGGAGGCAGAGCCCTTCCCAAAGCCACTTTACATTACTGAGCCTAAATCAGCGCTCAAGGGTCAGCTTAGGCTATCAGAATGAATTGAGTTCCACCAAATCTATCCCTTCGAGTGCCATTACTGCTTCAGTGAAGATTTCTAGATAGAACCATTGAGAAACTTAATTACTAGGGAAGATCCTCATGAACAGCCTTAGTCAAATGAAGTCAAATTAGCGGAGCCTAATTCTACCTTATTCTGCATCATTCTTATTTAGTGCAGACTCAACTTTCAGTTGAGATTTATGCAAGAACAATAACAAACATTGGTAACTTTCATTCTTATAAAACCTAAAAATGTAAGGAATTATTTTTAGTTTATAGTCATTTTATTCTTTTGTATTAGAACATTGACCTTCTACGCAAACAGAAGCCTCAGGTCCTGTATAAAAAAGAACAATTTTTTCTGTGTAAGAGAAATAATTGTCCTAGTAGATAGGAATATAATAGCTCCTTTTAGTCAATGATTAAGTGTTTGGTTGTAAATGGCAAAGTTAGAAGATATAGACCAAAAGCAGCCTACGGATAGGTTTTGTTTGGCTTACACACTACTTTTCGAAAATGTGAACTAAATGCCACCATTTCATGTAAATATCCAGATTTCTGGCTTTCCTGGAAATAAGGCAAAAATCTGGCCACACTGTATTCCCTCCCAGTTCTATGTTACAGCCACAGGCCACTTTCCATTATTCCGCAACCCTACACACACCCATACCCCCAACCCACCCGGCCCTGCAGGACACCGCAGGCCCCACCACTTCCTGTTATTGTGTGTGTGCTGCCCGGGAGTTACCCATTGATATTGCCTACTCTTCTTCCAGCAGACATCTGGCTTTTTAACCTCAACTGTGAGTTTTGCATTGCTTGAAATTTCCTTATTCCCATTAGTCTGTTGCTCCACATTCATGCCTACACTTCTTTCTTTTCACCTATGTGTCATTTCTTGGTGTTACTACCATGATTTTCAGTGTTCAGTTGTCATCTGGATATTCATGCTTTTTGAAGTAGTTTTGCACATAAAGGCATACCTGATGCAAGAACCGTTGTTTTTCCCTTGTGTCAGTTTATACTTAGACCCAAAGAGCGTGGAGACACTTAAGCCACTACCTGTTTCAGAACTAACTGCAATGAAACCTGCCATGCGCCGCCCTTCAGTGACCTGCCACACAACTATAGACAGATTTAGCTCTATTTTGGGACTCTCTGTAGATATTAGAAGCAGAAAGGATATTCTTATTGTTACTTGGTTGCTTTTTCTAAAAGTAGTATTGAGGTTCTAGACTTCTTGTAGACATTCACAGTCAAGCTTGGTTGAAACAGCAGTTGAAGAATGCCTCGGCTATAGAAGCAAGCAGGTACAAGGAATCTACAGAGGACAGAGATGAATCTTAAAGCAAATTGTTTGCTCTCCACTACTGCTTAGTTAGCCAAGAAGCAAGCTTCTCATATTTGACTTATCCATTGCTGAATGTGTGAAATGCCTCCGGGAGCCTCTCAGTAACTTCAGGCTTTCTCTCACTCTGACCAATCACTTGGGGTCATTTTTGATTATTCTCTTGCATCTCTCTCAAATCTATATGCAAATCTTGTTGATTTCACATGACAAGTATCCAGATTCCACCCACTCCTCATTGCTGCCCCTAACATCATCATGGCCATCGTCATCTCGTCCTTGAATTGCAGAAACAGCCTTTGCACAGTGACCATGCTGATCTCTTTGCAAGCCAAGATCATGTCATCCTTCTCAACACTGCCCAGCCGTTTCCATCTGCCAGAGTCAAGGCCAAAGTCCTTGAGGTAGCCCAAGCTCCTGTAGGGTTTCTGTGCTCTCCCTTTGCCTCTCTGATGCCGTATCCGGCTCCACCCTCCCTTGCTCACTTTCCCCAGCCACATTGGCCTTGCCGCTGCTCCTCACACATGCCACACATGTCCCACCACAGAGTTTTGCTTCCCTTGGTTTCTTTGAAATGCTCTTCCCTTGGAAGGGCCTCACTTCCTGCAGGTCTTGCAGAGGGCTGCCTTCTTGGTGAGGCTTTCCCCAACCACTCTACTTAAAACTGCAGCCCACCCTCTCAGACACTGGCTGTATTTCTCCTTCGTACTTACCACTACCTGTTGCAGGATACCTCTTCACTCACCTGTTTTCTCTCTGTCTCCCTCTGCTGAAACGTGTACTGTCAGAGAGCAGGGAGTTAGCCATTCTTATTTCACTGCTGGTTTTAAATGTCCAGACTGTGCTGGGGACATAGAGTTTCTTGATAAATATTTGATAAATGAAGTAGGTAGAAATGCCATCAATTTAAACTCTTCTGTTTCCAAAATTCAAATCTGTAAAAAAAAAAAAGTACACAATCTTCAAAAAAAATGAAAAATATTTCTTTTTTTCATTATTTGGACATGATCCACAATTCCTAGTTTATCCTACCTAAGCTCTGTTGCTATGTTCCAAACATGTGGAACCTCTACAAGGAATAAAGAAAAGCTGACTGTTTTCAGTTACGTCCTACTAAGGGGTGAGGGATCCAACAGTGATAGGGTGACTTGGCTCACTCCCATCAGCTGCATCCAGAATTCTAATGTATCTTAATTAAGGTCCTTTGAGGGAGTTGTGCTTAGACCATTGTGGCTGTTGGTTGTGTTTCTGGGTCTCAGTTCCACTCTGTTAATTCAGTGGCATCTCTAACTGTTGAGTTGGTTTTATATTTTCCCATGAGTTAAGATATTACAATTCGTAGGCCATGTTAGTTAAATGCAGCATGCTTCTGAACTGTGAAAAATAACATTGAAGGAAAAAAAAGACTTAAAAAGCACACAGAAAATCCTGCTACTTTAGCAGAAAAATTATAAAACAAAAAATTGACAATCTATTGGGCACATTAAACCAGCTGTTGATTTATTAAAATATAGTCACAGTTGATGATATGAGCCATCAAAAAGTATTAAAATAGGGTGTGATAAATTGTCCAATGTAGTTATTAATTCTGGAGTTTGCATTTACCCATTTCAGGGAATTGTCTAAAGATTTATTCATTTATTTATATTCCTTTATTTATTTGAAAGGCAGAATTGGGGGGGTAGATATATTTTATATATATATATATATAGAGAGAGAGAGAGAGAGAGAGAGAGACTGACTCCATCTGCTGGTTCACTCTCCAAATGCCCACCTGCTGACTTTTCTCCAAAGCATTGTGAGACAATTTTTGAAGTTTTCACTCCACATGGGCATTTTTATGCAGGCTTTACCTGTAGTAACTCACTACAGTGCTATGAGGAAGAGCATTCCCTCCATCAACAAATGGAAAAACCAAGACAAGAAGAGGTGAAAAGCTTACCTAAAGTCACAAATCTAGGTGGGTGCAGTGCTTGACTTGGACCCAAATTTTCTGGCTCTACAGTTTATGTATGTAATCACTGAGGGAGGGGGGGGGAAGGAGAGAGAGAGAAAGAGAAAGGAGAGAGAGGGAGAGAGAAAGGAGAGAGAGAGAGAGAACTCAATTAATATATTTATGAAATTTTATTCAAATACAGTAAAAAAAAGTTCTTCAGGAGATGCATGATAAAAAAATCAAAAGATCTGTTGTGAATTTGACAAACTTTGAACAGATAGATCCATTCAAGAATGCAAAAATCTAATCCCAAGCACCATAAATCTTTTAAGAATGATTTTAATCTCCCTATAATTCCCAACTTTCTGATAGGAAATCCCAAAAATGACCTGATACTATGCAACATGAGAAAAAGGATCATCTGCCTAGAAAGTTTTTGCTGAAGCCAGTACAGGACACTAAGGACACCACTGGACACATGGAAGAGTGTAGTGTGGGGTTACTCTTCACACGTCAACTGAAGGCGGTGATTACCAGCAACAGGCTGGGCAGGAACTCATAAAGAACAGTGCCTCTTCAAAAATTCTAGTAACAAAATCAAATGTGTTTTCAGAATACATGCTAAGTTGCTTCTGCTGCATGTTTATGAAGCAACAACAAAGTCTTTCAATGTTGTAAGTTGTGAATGTTTTTCTTTCCCTTCTCAGTAAGTCACTGAATACTTTTTTCTTTAGCATCCAATATAAACATATTGTGATAGACTTCAGGAAAACAAAACTCTTTAGATACTACTCATACTTAAAAACATAGGTTAACAATATAGTTTTAAAAAATTTGGAGGGGGGCGCTGGTGCTGTGGCTCACTAGGTTAATCCTACGCTTGCGGTACCAGCATCCCATATGGGCGCCAGGTTCTAGTCCTGGTTGCTCCTCTTCCAGTCCAGCTCTCAGCTGTGGCCTGGGATAGCAGTGGAGGATGGTCCAAGTGCTTGAGTCCCTGCACCTACATGGGAGACCCAGAGGAAGCTCCTGGCTCCTGGCTCCTGGCTTTGGATCAGCACAGTTTTGGCCATTGCAGCCATTTGGGGAGTCAACAAATGGAAGGAAGATCTTTCTCTCTGTCTCTCTCTCTCACTGCCTGTAACTCTACCTGTCAAATAAGTAAAATCTTTAAAAAAATTTTTTTCATAGGGGCTGGCGCTGTGGCGCAGTGGGCTAATGCCCTGGCCTGAAGCGCTGGCATCCCATATGGGCACCGGTTTGAGACCTGGCTGCTTCTCTTCCAATCCAGCTCTCTGCTGTGGCCTGAGAAAGCAGTAGAAGATGGCCCAAGTCCTTGGGTCCCTGCACCCGCGTGGGAGACCCAGAAGAAACTCCTGGCTTCAGATTGGCACAACTCCGGCCGTTGCAGCCAACTGGGGAGTGAACCAGCAGATGGAAGACCTCTCTCTCTCTGCCTCTCCTCTCTCTGTGTAACTCTGACTTTCAAAATAAATAAATAAATCTGAAAAAAAATTTTTTTCATAGACCATTCTAATTTTCCCCAAAGCACTATGGAGGAGCTTTTGATTATAGGAAGAGCTCATAAAATTGAACACATACTTTGAGAATCAGGTTGTAAATCTGGCCATGTTACACTTATATTTAAATGTTTACGTGTTTCCCCACTGCTCTCAGAATAAAGTCCAACTTCCTTAGCATAGAATTTAGGGTAAGCAGGAGTCATGACACAAAATCTTAGGATGTGCTAGCTCTCTCCCTGGATCACTGGGTCCTACTCTCCCCATGATCCTCTGGTCTCCTCCTACTTATCCTTTGAGTCTAGGCATGAAGCACCGGCATCTGCAGTCTGCCCTGACCATTGACTAGCCATACTGCGTTAGATGCTGTATTAGACAGGACTTTCCTGAGAAACAGAATCAATAGGATATTTATATAACTACATAGAAAGAGATGTAATATGAAGGACTTGCTGGTGCAACCAGGAAAACTGAGAAACCCCTTCCTTTGCATCTGCAATGGAGAGGCCTAGGAAAGCTGAAGGTGTAGTTTCAGTCCAAATCCGAATGTCTGAGTACTTGGAGGCTGGTGAAGTTCTTAGTCCCAGCCACGGTCTGAGAACCAGGAGCACTGATGTCTGAAGACTGGAGAAAACATGTCCCAGCTCAGAGAGAGCAAATGGACCCTTCCTCTGACTTTGTGTTTTACTCGAGCCCTCAGTAGATTAGATGATTGATTAAATTAAAAGATTGATTAGTGGGTTTTTTTGTTTTACTCAGTCTACCAATTCAAATACTCATCTATATCAAAAAATACTCCACGAATACACTCTCAAATAATGTTTCATCAGCCATTTGGACAACGCTTAGCCTAGTCAATTTTATGTCTAAAATTAACCATCACAGGTGCTGTAGCATAGAGGATAAAGCTACCACCTGCACTGCTGGTATTCCATCCAGGCACCAGTTCAAGTCCCATCTTATCCACTTCCCATCCAGCTCCCTGTTAATGCACCTGGGAAAACAGCATAATCTTCATCTCTGTCATGATGACCACTTTGTTCATGGGCCTACTGGGTGATGGCATGGGTGACTGAGGAAAGAGGTTGGCTGGTATCCATGGAGTGAGTCATCCTATCCACCTGACTGTTAAATCCTCCTCTGCTGGGGTCACACTTTGGTAAGCAGTCACATGAGATAAATACATTCACTTTTTTGCCCAAAGAAATCTATCCACATGCTGCTTCCCCAAAGAGTTTTGTAACCAATTTTCCAATCAAATTTCTTTAAAATCCCTGACCATCCAGTCAAACAATGGACTATAGCTCATGAATTTTTTTTATTTATTTGAAAGTCAGAGTTACATACAGAGATAGGAGAGGCAGAGAGAGAGAGAGAGAGAGAGAGAGGTCTTCCATCTGCTGGTTCACTCCCCAGATGACCGCAATGGCCGGTGCTTCTCTGAGCCGAAGCCAAGAGCCAGGAGTCTCCTTCGGGTCTCCCACGCAGGTGCAGGGGCCCAAGGACTTGGGCCATCTTCTACTGCTTTCCCAGGCCATAGTAGAGAGCTGGATCGGTGAGGAGCAGCTGGGACTGGAACCAGCGCCCATATGGGATGCCTGCGCTTTAGGCCAGGTCATTAACCCACTGTGCCACAGCGCCGGCCCCTCCTGAATTGTTAAATAATAATTCATCTGGTTGATTGGCTTCTAAGCAAAGTGGATAATCAGGCACACTGTCCAAAGTCCTATCCATTGAGATTTTCCTCATAGATGTTCCAGGGAGGGACTGTAGTGCTGTTGCTGTCCATTTTGGGGTATTACCTGCATATTGAGTACAGCCATCTGTAATTAGGTCATAGTCTCCACTTTCTCTGTCAATTGATGAATGGGAACTCCCCTGAGGCTACAGGTAAAGAGCTGGCAGAGAGAAGGCAATGTCACAGGAGTGAGGAGATGCGAACATTTGGACCGCTTTTTCATGTAACTTATTTGTGTCTTCAGGATATACCTGACCCTGATCATGTACATTCCACTTCTTTGAGAACGAATGCTACTGTGCTTGCCCAGCTTTATGGTTTTTTGGGGTCAAATAACACAAGTTCCTGATGGACAGTTCCAGTACACAAAGGAATGTCTTCACATGCCCCACCCCAATGGAGTGCTAGAAATTTCACTGATGTATAAGGTTCCTGAATTTTAGTTGATTTGATTTCCCACTCTTTGATATGCAAATGTCTTACAAATATGTGCTCAGTAGCTACTAATGCTTGCTCAGTGGATCCAGTCAACGTAATATCATCAGTGTAATGGACCAGTGTCATATACGTATAAGGGAAAGACAGTCGAGATCTCTAAGTTATAAGCTAAATTATAACATAGGTCTAGAAAGTTGGTACACCCCTAAGGTAGGACAGTGAAAGTCTATTGCTGGCATTGCTAGCTGAAAGGAAACTGCTTCTGATGGACTTTAATGGACAGGTATAGAGAAAAGAGTCATTTTCCAGATCAATAACTGCATACCAGGTGCCAGGGGATGCATTAATTTCCTCAAGCAATGAAACCAGATCTGGTAAAGCAGCTACAGTTGGAGTCACCACCTGGTTAAGCTTACAATAACACACTGTCATTCTTCAAGGTATAACTGTCTTCCGTACAGGTCAATTTATAAAGTTATATTGGGACACAGTGGGAGTCACAATCCCTGTATCTTTCAAGTCCTTGTGGCTAATCTCTGCCATCCTTCCACGCATACAGAATTGGTTTTGATTTATTATTTTCCTAGGGAGAGATAGTGCTGATGGTTTCCACTTGGCCATTCCTACTATGATGGCCTTCACTCCACAGGCTGGTGAACCAGTGTGGGGACTTTGGCTAGCTGCTCAGTACATTTATAAAATTATGCATTCTAGAAGTGGAAAATAACCACAAGATAGATTTGAGGACCCAGTGGACCCATTGTCAGATGGGCCTGAGCCTTTGACTGCCTGACCTATGAAGTCTTCCTCTGACAGTGGTCCATAGTGACATTCAGTCCTCCTCTGACAGTGGTCCACAGTGACATTCAGAGTCTCCTGGAATTGGTTAAGAGGCTGTGACAGTTTTTTTGATTTGAGTTAGGCTTTCTTTCACTTACCCTAAATTTTTCCTGCATAAACAGAACAAGTAAGCATTTAGTAGGGTTTTTATCTATTTTACTCCTAGGAATACTGTCATTAACCAGCCAACATCACAGACTTCTAATCGATGCTTTGACTCTGTTGTCCATTAGTGTCTATGTTTTTGCCTTTGGCAGGTTCTAAAGAGGATCAGCATTATTTTGCATGGCAACTGTCTCAGTGGATATCATTACAGTTTCCCCAGGCTGTGTGGGGTTAATCCCCTCAGAAGGAGGTTGAAAGTCTGATACCACTGAGAGAGGAGAGGCCAGCCAGAACCACTGGAGTTGGGGGGAAATTCCTCCCCTGGGCAAAGAAGCCTCACCCCAATGTCCCCAGTTTCTCTAAGTATCTTCCCCTAAGTCCCCATTCTGACTTATAGGACCCCATGCTTTCCATGCCCATGTTCCCACTCCAACAGCAAACCCCCTGCAAGGCTGGGGATTCTGCTTGTGTTGTAGTTTGGTCAGTTGTAAGATGAAGTTCTGCATCTGATTTTCAGAAATGTCAGCTCCACAGCTCCAGGAGACACAGGCTCCTTTAGGACACACACAGAAGCTCTTAGGTCACAGATGTAGTATTTGTGCTGGGAATTTGTCCAGTAATATTAGATGCAGTTGACCAATGTCACTATATTCATTAATTTTCCAAAAAAGTGTTTGGCAATATCATATACAGCTACCTAGCTCCTTGCTTCTTATAAATGGCTGATTTATAAGAAAGCATGGGATCCTAAATGGCTGATTAGGGCTATTTAATGCCAATAGCTTGCATATCTATAAGCAATCACTCAATGACTATTGTTTTTTCAAAAAGAAGCTTTATTTATTTATTTATTTATTTTTATTTACTTGAAAGGCAAAGCAACTGAGATGCAGAGCAAGAGAAAGGGATCTTCTGTCTCCTAACACTCCCCAGATGCCCACAACAGACAGTGCAGGACCAGGCCAAAGCTAGGAACCTGGAACTCAATCCAATCTCCCACTATGTGGCAGGGACCCAAGTATTTGAACCATCATCTGCTATCTCCTAGAGTGTGCAATAGCAGCAAGAAGCAGGATCATAAATGGGATAGCCAGAACTCAAACCAGACATGCTAATGGCAGAATCTTAACCACTGTGCCAGTAGAATCTTTACTACAGGAAATAGTCTTTAGCATTTTTAAACTTAAACAGGTTAGAAAGTCAATTCTAGTAATTCGAATTCAGGATCAATTTAAACAACTTAAAATTCTATTCTTCTAGAACCACTCAGTGCAAACATCTATATTATTAGGGGTTTATTAGCCTGTATTCTCCAGAGAAACTGAAACAATAGAGTACATATATGATAGAATATATCTTCCCCCCAGTATCTACTATAAAGCTCTTAAAACTCCTGTAATTTCCTAAGTAGTAGGGATGCCAGGAGAATCTTTTGTTCTACTGAGGTTACTTTAGATGTCTCTGAATGGCAGTTGGCCACCAGAAAGAGTAAGTCATGGTTAGAAGCCTGGAACTTTTCATCCCTATCCCCCAATCACCAGAAAGGAGAAGCTGGGCTGAAGATTGAGTTATTAACAACCACACCTCCATAAACATCCCTGAAAGATAGGTTTGGAATGCTGAACATGAGGAGGAGGTGCTGAGAAGGTGGCATGTTCAGAGAGGGGGCATGGAAGCTCCACACCCTTTACCACAAACCTTGCACTATAGCCCTCTTCACCCAGCTGTTCATCTGTACCCTTGTAATTTCCTTTATGATAAATGGATAAGCATAAGTAATATATTTCTCTGAGTTCTATGGGCCACCCCAGCAAATATCAGATGCAAGAGCTGGTCACAGGTACTCCCAGTAGTGGTCAGAGGCACAGGTCGCAATCTGAGACTTGTGATTGGCATTTGAATTGGGGAATGGTCTTGTGGTACTGAGCACTTAACCAATGAGGTCTGCACTGCCTACAGGTAGGGTCAGAATTGAATTAAATTGTAGTATAGCCAGCTGGAATATGCTGAAGAATTGCTTGGTATGGAGAGAAACTCCATAAATTTTGGTGACAAAAAGTGATCTGTGTTGATATTGTAGTAGGAGCAAACAGTCTGACGATTGTTATTGCTTACTTTTTAGGCAGGATAGTGTTCAGGTTATGATTTTAAGTCAGGGAGTCAGAGGAGCCACACTGAAGGGTGATGTTTGATTAAGTATTTGAAGGAGTAAGCAAGTTCACCCCATTGATGTCTTAGAGGAAGAACACCCAGGCAGACCAAACAGCTAATGCCAAGGATTAGCTTCTTCCAGGAACAGTCCAGAGATCAGAGTGTCTGGAAATAGTGAATGAAGGTGATGGAATAGAGGGAGAAGGCAGGGAGGAAATGACAGAGTTGGGTGTTCTGAGGGAATGATAGAGGGTATAAGTTCTACTGCAAGTGAAATAGAGCCAGTGCTGGACCGTGGGCACAAGGGTTACATGACTTGGCTTATATTTTGAATGTGTAAGCACTATCTGGGGGCATAAACTCTATTTTAGTAAGCAAGAAATTGATCTTTCTTAATTGATAGTTTCCTCCTTCATGTTCCTTGCACATTTTCTTGTGTAGCCAATTTTGTGTCAAATGAAAAGTATTGTCCTATACATTTGAATCTTATCCAGTATTTCTCAGCCAAGAGATCTTGGCACACAGGAACTTTATGGCTTGTGGCTAGGACTTTCCAAAAATTCACAGGCAAGAGAAATTTTAGGACATTGTCCTAAGATGGAATCAAGAAAAAAAATGTGATTTTAATCCTTGTTTGAGTATTATTTCAAATAATTTCTTATAACATGGGCATATGGTTTAGGATGCGGTACAAGAATTTATAATCACATTTATACAAAGGTCCTGTGAAATGTTCCTGCACCTTTGAATCAAATACCAGGTGTGAACCTTTGAAACAATCCCAACATTTGCAAAATCATCATTTCTGGATTCTTGTTAGTTTTTTTCCAAATCCAAAGGGGATGTATCAATTTATTGGAATTTACTCTAGAAAGGTTTTGGCACCAGCCAACATGAAAAGTCACAGAGAAGCTATTTCAAAAGTAAACTAGAGGAAATATTTTGCATAAGAAGACTATAAATGACTAGTAAATCTGGTAAAAATGTTTTCACTGGAATGATGACCAAAGAAATGCAAATCAGTAGTTATATATTTAAAATGAATTTCAAGGAGAGAAAAAGGAAAAGTGAAGAATATTAGGATATTTGGGTGAGAATATATGAGTTTAGTAAGATACAACCTTAAACTGCTTGTGAAAGGGAATACGAAAGTTCTCACCTTATTGATGCTTGCAGTGGATGAAATATGCAGTGCCACACTGTGAGTTATAAACCTTACAAAAGATCACGTATTTTGGCTCTGTAGTTGTACTGCTGGGAAAATTTAGGGAATAAAAAAAGAATTACTTTAAATACTGTAGCATTATTTTAAATAGAGAAAACATATAACTTCCAAGAAAAGAAGGGTTAAACGAATTATTATTATTATTATTATTATTTTTGAGAGGCAGTGCTACAGACAGAGAGACAGAGAGAAAGAACCATCCTCAGGTTCACTCCCCAAATGCTGCAATGGCTGGAGTGGGGCCGATGATCTAAAACCAAGAGCCAAAAGCCTCCTCTGGGTCCCGACATGGGTGCAGGGGCCCAAGTACTTGGACCATCTTCTGCTTTCCCAGGCCATAGCAGAGAGCTGGATCGGAAGTGGAGCAGCCAGGACTCGAACCATTGTCCACATGGGATGCTAATGGCCCAGGCAGTGGCTTAGTTTACTAAGGCACAGAGCCAGCCCCCGGGCTATTTTATTTAAAAATTTTTTTTTAACTTTTATTTAATGAATATAAATTTCCAAAGTACAGCTTATGGATTACAATGGCTTCCTCCCCATAACGTCCCTCCCACCCGCAACCCTCCCCTTTCCCACTCCCTCTCCCCTTCCATTCACATCAAGATTCATTTTCGATTCTCTTTATATACAGAAGATCAGTTTAGCATACATTAAGTAAAGATTTCAACAGTTTGCTCCCACACAGAAACATAAAGTGAAAAATACTGTTTGAGTACTAGTTATAGCATTAAAAATATTTATATTTATGTGTTAGAGAGAGAGAGAGAGACAGAGAGAGAGAGAGATATGAATCTTCTATCTATTGGCTCACTCCCCAAATGCTGGAAGCTAGGAACAGGGAGTCAAGCACTTGAGCCGTCATTTGCTGCTCTTAGCCTGTGCATCAGCAGGAAGCTGGAACAAAGCAGCAGGGAGTAGCTGGGACTTGAGCAGGGCACTTACAGTTGTCCCAAGGGGGCAGCTTAACCTGCCCATGGCCTACCCCAAACAAAATAGTTTAAATACATTTAATAAATATTATACAATGTTAAATATTCAAGGAGAAATGATATGAAAAAATACGATGTGTTTGATGCAGAAAAAACAAGGTTCAGACACGTGGTCTCAGCCATTTACAAATACGTGAAGGAAACAAAGGCCAGGTGGAAATCTGCCAACTTGATGACAGTGAATCTTTGAACAGTGAGGGTGTAGGGGCTTTATTTTTTCTAACACGTTTATGCTTAGCTCTTATAATAAATAGCAATATATAATATTTGCAATGATTTTCTACATTTGTATTATTTTCCATTATTTCTAGTGCTTTTCTGTTATTTTTATATTATTGTTCAATCTGAAATTAAATTATTTGAATATATAAATCTGTTTAATATTTTCTGCACATAACCTTTCAAAATTATTTTTGAATAAAACAAAAATATATTCAGTGTCTAGCTTGGTAGTTAAAACAAATGAGAAAATCTTTTGATCTACTCAGTGGCACCAAGTGGATAGAGGGATACAATATAGACCAAACACCTTAACTGAAGATAACTACCAATTTTCTAGATGCCTAATAAATGCCGTTAGTTTGCTATTTAGCTTACCAGGGTAAAATGAATTAATAAGAGTCTATTTAGGCTGGTGCCGTGGCTCAATAGGCTAATCCTCTGCCTTGTGGCGCCGGCACACCAGGTTCTAGTCCCGGTCGGGGCACCGGATTCTGTCCCGGTTGCCCCTCTTCCAGTCTAGCTCTCTGCTATGGCCTGGGAGTGCAGTGGAGGATGGCCCAAGTGCTTGGGCCCTGCACCCTCATGGGAGACCAGGAGAAGCACCTGGCTCCCAGCTTTGGATCATCGCAGTGCACCGGCCGCAGTGAAGCCAGCCGCAGCAGCCATTGGAGGGTGAACCAATGGTAAAGGAAGACCTTTCTCTCTGTCTCTCTCTCTCACTGTCCACTCTGCCTGTCAAAAATAAAAAAAAAATTTAAAAAATAAAATAAAAACTTTAAAAAAAAGAGTCTATTTAGTGGTAAGTGTAGAGTATTTTAATCTGAACCAAATTATTAATAAAGTTGCCTCTACACGGCACAGTAGGTTAATCCTTCACCTGCAGTGCTGGCATCCCATGTGGGCACTGGTTCTGGTCCTGGCTGCTCCTCTTCCAAACCAGCTCTCTGCTAAGGCCTGGGAAAGCAGAAGAGGATGGTCCAAGTGCTTAGGCCCCTGCACCCATGTGGGAGACTGGGAAGAAGCACCTGGTTCCAGGCTTTGGATCGGCACAGCTCCGGCCGTTGCGACCATTTGGGAAGTGAACCAAGGGAAGGAAGACCTTTCTTTTTGTCTCTCTCTCTCACTGTCTGTAACTCTACCTCTCAAATAAATAAATAAAATCTTAAAAATATATAGGTTTTCTTTAACATGCCATCACTGAGGAACAGATGCACAGGATAAATAATTCAAGTAAATATCAACAAGGAGAAGAACTATATGCATAAGACACTGATTTTCATACACCTACAGGCCACCTTATAAGAAGTGTGGAAGAGAAAAGGTGGCAATTTGCAATTCTGTGTGGATCTGGTCAAGTCCTAGAAGAAGGAGGACACCATTGTCTCTTCAGTTTGGTTTTTCATTCTTCTGATTATTTGAATCATTGATAGCCTGCCTTTATATAAATAATAGCACCCTCTCTTTTTAGTTTTGTAAAAGCAAGCATTTTAATTTTATTACTAGGAAAAAAACCCCAGTTATTTGTTATTTTAAGAATATGTGCTTTTTACCCCCAATTAAGTCTCTACTCTTGCTACCGGAAGTCAGCATTTTGTCATGAGGCAGCTGTATTCGATGAGTTCGAAGCAACCCTAGTAGGTCCTCCTTCTCTTGGGAATTCTCATTCCACAGCTGGCTTAGCTTTTTCCACCTTAGTGACCCACGTACAAACTGAATTCCCAAATTATCCAAAACCTGCCCACAAAACAAGCTATGTTCCCAGGAGCTCAAATTGGTATGCAGGTAAAGTGTGTCTCAAAACCTGCTGATTATAAAAGTGGGAATTCTGAGTAGTCTCTTGAAACCAGCCACATTAACACCTCTGGGACTGGTGCTTGGCTCTCTGCAAAAGTAATTTTCTAAAAGCGCTGCCTTAGCACCCCCAGGTGAGCACTTCTTTTCTCCCAAGATGGCTTCTCATCCGTTTGGTGCTTCGAAGCATTTTGCCGAAACACTTCTCTCCTAGGACTTGGAACACCTGACGCACATGTGCTGTTCTGTTTTACAGTCCTCAGTCTTGTTGGATGGCTGTGAGGTTTTGTCACACAGACATTCAGCCTCCTTCATTCAGGGCATGAAGGCCGTAGTACGGACCCCACACCAGTCCTGCAAGACCCCTCCACACATCAGAGCACACAAGGTCACAAGGAGACACGGTGCTGCCACGATTATGTGATGCCTAACGGGAGAGGCAGCAGGAGCTCCATTTTCCTTTAAACTCCTAGCCTAGCCTGGAAATCACTTACCTTCCTAGGCGCTTTTAATAGAATCGGCCCATACTGAATCTGGACTATGACCCAGCCACCACGTGACTCAGTACACGAGTGGATCTGCCAGCCCTAGTTAAGCCTCGTGTAGCTACTGCCCCAGCTGACACTGGGATTGGAGCTGATGAGTTACATACTCACATTCTAAACTGCCTTTTAGAATCACCAGGTCTGGTTCAAAGGGGCAACTCCGTGTCACTGCAGCCACCCCAACCTCTGAGAACAGCTTGTTGTGAGCCGCAGGTAGGGAAACATTCAAGAAAAATCTACCTCTCTGTTTACCACATGGAAGATGTGGAGAAGAGGATTCTACCTATAAACTTTTTTTTTTAAAGAGACATAGAGATAGAACATGATCATCCGTTGGTTTACTCCTCAAATGCCCGCAGTAGCTAGGGCTGGGCCAGGCTGAAGGCCTGCAGGCAGGAACTTAATCTAGGTCTCCTTCACAGGTGACAGGATCTCAACTACTTGAGCCATCACCTGCTGCCTCCCAGGTTTGCGTCGGCAGGAACCTGGAATCAGAACCAGGAATCGAAACCAGGCACTCTGACAGTACCGGATACGGGTGTCATCATTGGCATCTTAACCCTTTGGTCAGATACCTACCCCAACTTTGAGCTCTAAGAACTCAGGAGTGCTAAAACAATCCTTGCCATTGCTTATAAAGAGCATCAAACATTTAGTATCTGTAGGAAAATCCTGCCCTGGGCTGATCTTGCAGCATGTCCTTTTTGGTTATCTCTTTTTGTTCAGTTTTTCTTTGGTAAGAAATAAAGCTACAGTGCAATGGACTTACTGAGCATACTGAAATGAAGGGTTTTGATTTCTGTTCACAGGTGTTTTGTTTGCATTTACCTGATGCTCCCTGCAGCTAATCCAAAGATACTGTAATTTTCTCATTGTTGATAAAAACTGACACACACACTCTTTAGAGATCTTTGATGCTAAGAATGTAAGCTTTTCTTCTTTTTCTAATTGTGTAACTGATAGCAGTTTTACAGAAACCTGACCAAGCTGTATATAAGATAAAGAAGAAACGCAGGGGGAGGAGGCAGCTCTGAACAGAACAGTTAGGTGGATCAAGAATTTCTTTCTTTTTTTTTTTTTTTTTTTTTTTTGACAGGGAGAGTGGACAGTGAGAGAGAGAGACAGAGAGAAAGGTCTTCCTTTTGCCGTTGGTTCACCCTCCAATGGCCGTCGAGACACCCCGCTGATCCGATGGCGCTCTGGGCTGATCCGATGGCAGGAGCCAGGTGCTTCTCCTGGTCTCCCATGGGGTGCAGGGCCCAAGCACTTTGGCCATCCTCCACTGCACTCCCGGGCCACAGCAGAGAGCTGGCCTGGAAGAGGGGCAACCGGGACAGAATCCGGCGCCCCAACCGGGTCTAGAACCTGGTGTGCTGGTGCCACTAGGCGGAGGATTAGCCTGTTGAGCTACGGCACCGGCCGAGAATTTCTTTTGAGGCTCAATTTCCACATTACTCCTTCCCCTCCCCTTCCTTGCCTCTTCTCCTGGGGTCCTTACCCCAGACAAACTGCATTCACTGATTCATTTGACAAGTCAGGGAGGTGGGGGAAGATAAGTTATTAATAACACTTTTAAAAATTTTTTTAAAGATTTTATTTATTTATTTATTTGAGAGGTAGAGTTACAGACAGTAAGAGGGAGAAAGAGAGAGAAAGGTCTTCCATCAACTGGTTCATTTCCCAGATGGCCGCAACTGCCGAGCTGTGCCGATCCGAAGCCAGGAGCCAGGTGCTTCTTCCTGGTCTCCCATGCGGGTGCAGGGGCCGAAGCACTTGGGCCATCCTCCACTGCCTTCCCAGGCCACAGCAGAGAGCTGGTTTGGAAGAGGAGCAGCCAGGACTAGAACCGGTGCCCATATGAGATGTTGGCACCGCAGGTGGGGGATTAATCCACTGTGCCATGGTGCCGGCCCCTAATAACATTTTTATAGGTGAGTAAACAGATGCCTCAATCAGGATGCCTTGCTGAGCATTTCACACTTTTTCATGGCAAATATAGGGCTTGCAAGCAGGCTGCATCTTTCACTATCCAGTGCTTTGACCTCTTCCCAACCCAAACCAACATTGGGTTTATTTTTGTCTGTGAAATCATCTATACTTAAGGAATAATTAGCTTTTGTGTCTCTTCAAAGATGTTGGAGCTAATGTTGCAGTGCATTGTGTTAAGCCACCACCTGCAACACCAGCAAATCATAGGGACACTGGTTCAAGTCCTGGTTGCTCCACTTCCCATCCAGCTCCCTGCTAATGCACCTGGGAAGGCAGCAGAGTATGGCCCAAGTGCTTGGATCCCTGGGAACCTTGTGGGAGACCTGGCTGAAGCTCCATCTGACTTCAGCCTGGTCCAACCCTGGCCATTTGGGAGTGAACCAGTGGATGGAAAATCCCTCTTTTTCTCTCTGTAATCCTTTCTTTCAAATAAATAAATCTTTAAAAACTAAAATGAAACAAAGCACATTTATGACTCCTATTTGTAATGCAGGCACGGTGTGTCTGGCAGCCTCTTTCCTGCAGCTTGGGGGGACAGGGTGCTGTGGAGTCTGTATGGCCCCAGGCAGGGTGCCCAGGCAGCCTGAGCTCACGACAGGTGCAGGCCTTTCCGCCCCCTGCTTGCCTCAGTGAGTGGGTGCCTGGTGTCACCCCTGGGATCCCAGGACACAACTGCCTTATGCTGTTATTTCACTGTAAGCCTAGACAGTAACTCTAGGCCTTTTCCGAAAGTGTGACAGCCTTTTCTGATGAACATACAACTTCTGTTTCAGCATCAAGACTGGCTTTCTAACCTCCTTCTCCTCTGTTACTAACTTCCCAGCTCACCGTCCACATCCCCACATTATGAACCCTCCGAGCGTCTCTTTCCTTTTCTGGGCTCTTGAAGATCCAGCCTCTTCTGAGGAGGAAAAGGCGTGCACTCACTATTAAGACAGCAGTCTTAACGATTCATATGCCATATGCCATCTCTTACTTGGATGTGCTTTCCTTTTGAAAAGAAGAACCAAAGGATTGAATATGTAATGGTGGAATGTCTACTATTGTGTGTGTGCAGCACTTTGATAGACTGAGGGAGAGAAGAGAAATGAAAGGAAACAAGCCAGGAGAGGGTGTCCTTGAAATTATCCCAAGGGGGATTCACATCTTTGCTGTGTGCACAAAGGCTCCTTTTCATACTAACTTGACTGGCTTCAGAGAATGGGACAAGAATCTCATTTTTTCCCTCTGCTTCATTTGGTGACCCAGAGTGTAAAGGCCAAGGTAAAAGATGAAAGCCCCATGATGGGAAGCGAGGGCCTTGGGGTCAGACAGATCCAGATTCAAACGCTCAGCCACGTACGAGCTGTGCGTCCTTCGGTACATCCCAAGCTGAGCGCCAGTTCCTTCCTCCGAAAATAGAGCCTGGTCCTTGGCAGAGTAGGGCAGGATCAAATGGGTCGGGACAGGTGGAGCACCCACCACAGCACGCCGTGTTCCCTGACCCCTGCAGCTGCGCCCCTGTGCAAAGTGGCTTCATCACAGATACCTCCCTTTCTGCTCTTCAGATTGAGGCTGTGGCTGCTTGGATTTATTTCTTAGAACCAGATAAATTTCTAGGAATTGGCAGCACTTAGAAACACAGGGAATGATTTAGAGCTCTCATGAGAAGCCAAAGAAAGCAATTACAGAGTGAAGATAGTCTGTCCTCCTTCTCCTCCTGTTCTTCCTCCTCTGTCCCCTCCTCCTCCTCTTCTCAAAACATTATTTACTATTCAAAACACTGCAAGTTAAAGAGAGAGAGATTAATTATACGCAAATCCCTACTCCCCTTGTCCAAGATGTAAATTAGAAGTCATTGAGAGATACCTGTGTGCTGCACAGGCTGCCAAGATTTGAAGTTTCCAACTCCCTTGATGTTATGTTTCAGGAAATCTGATTTGGAGATCAAATTTTAGAATAATAAATGGCCCTGCTCAGAGTCCCACATGGTCCTGGCTCCTGCGGAGTAATCTCAGCACTTCTCTTTGAAAATCTCAATACAAAATCTTTTGTTCCTGTTTTGCTACATCACTTGAGAGATATATATATATATATATCCATACATATATATAATATATATGTAAAATACACGTATTTACACACATACACACATACAATGAGAATCAGCAGTACAATCTTATGCATCATTTAATTTTCCTATGAAGCAAAATTCACTGTGGTTACGCTATAAGGTCTCAATGATCTTCACAAAGGTCAAAATAAATTTATAAAACATATATGCATATAAACATGTTATGTTTAGCTAGTCTTTTAAAAATGCTCCCCTTTACTTGAATGCTTCCCAGAGTCCACAGTAGCATTCCTGAACTACCTGAATTTCATCAACAGCTCGATTGCTGTTGTCTAGTCTCTGCTCCAAAGACAATATCCAGCCCACTTCTGGGGCTGGCTCAGCTGCAAAGCTGCTTTCTATTGCTCCAGCTTTTCCGTATTTTCAATGTAAGCATGAGATCCTACCGAATGCTTTTTAGCATTGTCTGCCCTTTATTTGGAATTAAAATTCTGGTTGATTAACTAAGAGACTCAGTTTAAGGAAATCCATTTAAAAAATTTATTAGGAGCATAGTTAATCCCTACATACTTACCACCAGCTTCCAGAAGTGTCAACTCATGGACAACATATTCATGCAAATAGTTGTGGGTTTTTTTTTTTTTTGGTTGTTGTTGTTTCTATGTTTAAATAGACTATACTTTTAGCCATTGAGTAAGCAAGTACAGTGTTTCCTCTCTCCTTCAGTTGCCCCTATTAATAACGTCTTTCCCCAATGTAGTACATTGGTTACAATTAATAAGCTCATAGTAATGCACTATTACTAACCAAAGTCCATAGTTCAAATCTGGGCTCACTTTTTGTCTTGCACATTCTAGGAATTTTAATAAATATTTGATGGCACATATATACCATCACCATATCATCCAGAATAGTTTTACCAAATGGGTTTTTTATATTAAGAAAATAGCTACGAATAATCCCTAACCACCTTAGGGTAAATTATATCCATATTGCTAAAGATTTTTCTGTTCAAACTAAATTCATATTTTATGCCATTATGATGATTTAATATATATTGTGGCACTCAATTTATGTAGTCATCTACTTTCTTGAAGATATCAAAGCTCAGAAAGGTTAAATAACTTTTTCTAAGGTCACAGAGCTAGTAAGAGACACAGCAAGGATTCCA